AAAAATGCTAAATATAATAAAAGTTATTAACTAACATTAAAATAACTATATTATAGAATATTTGGATCGTAACAACGTGAACACGTGATTCCAAGTCAAGTGATTTGGAACAGTTATAGAACTGATCCAAACTAGCTCATTTTGAATCACGTGGAGGGATGCCAATAACAAAAATGGAGGTGCCAATAACAATTCTCTAAATAAATAATACAAGTAATAAATATAAATATAATACGAATAATAAATAAAATATGAATGATAGTTTCTTGTTAAGTTAACATAATTAAAAGGCCAAAGTAATATAAGTCACAACCAAATTTTATTTAATATTAAAGGATATATGAACTAATACTTAATTATTTCATAACTTGATAATAATTCTAAACTAAGATACATGCTACTTATATATCTATTTCTATCTTAAAAAGAACCAATTAAAATCTAACACATTATCATATATCACAAGTAACACACAATGTTATTCCAATTTGCCAAGTGTTGTATATTTAAATCTAGTGCCAATACATACTAAAATACTATTGGTACTTCTTTGTTATTACACAATAAAACTAATTAAACTTAATATAGCACAAGATAATATCAATATAATACAAAGAAAAATTAAATACATGAAAAAAACCAATTAAAATAAAACACATGCTAAATCTTAATAAAATAATCTATATTAAGTATGTATTACAATATAAATTTAATTTATAATAAAGAATCAATTAGAATATCTTAATAAAAACCAATTAGATTTTTAATAATTATTATTCTTTGTCAAATATTATCATCATGTAAGAGAAATATCATTATTATAGATAAATATTGAGCTCCTCATAGTAATGACACTATGCTTACTTTACTGATCTTTTGTATTAATGTATTAACAAATAGTTAAATAATATATAACATGTCATAATGATAATAATATGACTAAAGCAATAAAGAAATATCACATTTTAAAGTGTAAAGTGAAAGGTAAAGTTAATTATCGAGCTTTCTATTAATATCTATATAAATCACATCATGTTATAATAAATCAATATTATATAAGTTAAATTAGTAAATTAGAAATCAGTATAATCCTTAGAAGAAGAGTAATAATTATTATTCAATTATATCATGGATGGAATCAATATAGAAGTTTGCAAAACATACATAATAAGATTATCATAATATTTTTTTAGCTTGAAAAATATCTTTATATTACACATACTTTTGTGATAAAAACAAGTAAAAACAAAACTCAACACCAATATCACTAATATCAATATTGCCAATACTGCCAATACTAATATTACTAATACTAATATTATTAATATTAGCACCAATATTAGCACCAATACCAATATCACCAATACTAATATTATCAATACTAGCACCAATACTAGCACCAATTCCAATAGTAATGATAATACAAGTTTCACTTTTCAAAAAATTGTTAAATTGGTTCAGATTGCTGATGATTATAAATAGAATTATGTATGTCAGTATAATAATAATAATAAAAAATAATCACAATGATACATTTGCTCTTTGTTTTCTCAATGAGATTATACATTATCAAATTCTAAGCATATTTATACAAAACAAGAGCATTTTGCTTGTTGTGATTTATTGTGACTTATTTTCAATTCAAAAAATATGATAATATATCTTTATTTGTATTATCATGAGCTTCATCTATGTCTAGCTACAAAAAAAAATATTAATGAAAATATTATAACATTCATTAAAATAATATTCATCTTACTTCAAGGTAACTTTGGAAATATTTGCAATATTAGTTATACAGAAACATATTTATTTTTGATGAAACATATTTCATTAATTAAGATAATGATCAATTTACTTTAGCAATATATCTTTTATAAAAAAATGAACTTTCTGAACTTGTATTTGTTATGTTATTTTTATAATTATTACATGATAAATATAATGAGATATAAATGTCACATATAAAACAAATAATACTGGATTTGAACTCTATGTAGTTATAACAAATATTGAAGATATAGATTATCCACTATTGTATTTATTCTTAAATTTGGTAACTATTTCTAATATATATACTATAACTTTGATTAATTACTTAGATATACTAAAGAAACAAGATATTAAGTCTTCTTTTCTCTTCACTAACAAGAACTTTGCTCAGATTAATGTTATGAAAAAAGTTTGATCTGATACAAAAGTTCAATTATATCTATGAAATTTGCATCATATTGTTTTGCGCAGATTATGAAATCAAGAATGCTCAAAAAAAATGATGTATGATTCAGAAAAAGCACACAAATTCTTTAACTTTATTGAATCTAAATTTATTCCTTCTACAATTATATAGCATTTTTGTTTATCATTCTTGCATAATTAAGTATTAATCTTGATAATAAAACACTTCAATTATCACTTTCACATTTTCATTAGTATCTCTGAGATTTTTTTTACTTTAACTAAAATTTATAAAATTACTACAATGACAATATACAAGTTCTGTATTGATAATAAACTTCCACATTTATAGGCATATTTTTGAATTGAATAGTATCAACCAGAATATTGGTGTCTTTGAGCACAATCTACTGGTTTTATAATATTATTGACGTGTATAACAATGATTATTGAGGCTCATTAAAAATCTCTTAAACATGATTTTTTATATCAGTTTAATCATTCTCATCTTGATTTATTTGTTTATATTATTATTAGTTATTTTGTATTATAATTAATTATCAAATACAATCTTACTCTTGCTGGTCACATTGAGATTGTATGAAAGAAAGATTTTAAAAAAATTTGGTGATTTTTGGCAAAAAAGATGATCTTATAATTGATACAATATTATACAGATACTTAAAGATGAATATGCAGTTGTCCATCCTATATAGTTAGTTAATTTATATTATGCAAGCATTTCATTAATATTACAGATAGTAATTCAATTAATATTTTCTCTGTGTGTCAATATATACAATATTCTTATATATATATTTTGATCATATTAATACTAAAATTATCAATAATTGAGTTTAATCAGAATAATATTAATTCAAGTGACAATATGAATATTGATTCTCTTTTATCACTTATACTATCTAATAATAATTCTGAAAATAATATATTGAATTGTTTTCAACAAATGGTTGATAAATTAAAAAAATTAGTTATTAATTTACAAAATGAAATTATCAATGGTAATACTTGTCACATACAAGTTGTTTAGTGATATATACAGAAAATACTTAAAATTATGAGAGATATCAAAGCATATCATAATCATCTTACTAATTGTCAAACATGGAAGACTAAAGAATGGACAATATTTTTATCTTGATTTTAATTGCAAAAATATAATTATAATTAGTGAATTATAATATATATTTCTTTATTAATATTGATATTATAAGAGCAATATTATTATATTTTAAATGTATTAGTTATTTTTTAATGTATTAGCTAATAATTAAATATTATTTAAATGCATTAGTTAATGATTAAATATTTTTTAAATGCATTCAAGTAATTATATACAAATTATTTAAATAATTAACGTGCAATTTTAATTCCAGTTGAAAATCATCTTATTCTTACAGAATGACATCATTCAAACCAAAGCAAATATCAAAAAAGAGAGATAATTCATTATCAAATATTATCACAAATTGAAAAAATTCATACTATTGTATAATAGAATTTTACATTAATTATTAGTTAAAATTATCATTTAATCTTATTGATAATTTTAAGAATACATATTTATATTTAATTAGTTAAGATCTTCTTATTTACATTTTGTATTACATTATTATTTGTATTATTATTTATAT